ACATTTTTTTTTTCTGCTTGCAAAAATAAATAAATAAATAAATAAAATAAAAGAAATAAATTGTATGTAATTTTGTAAACAGAGTGTTGGAAAGTTGTAAAGAGAGTGTTTTGAAAAAGCAGAGAATCATCAATACTTTGATATGGAATAGGGAATTAAAGTGTAAAGTAGATGTGCTGTATCAGAACATCTGAATAGCAAAGGTTTTTCCTGAGTCTCTTAAAAAAATTACCTGCAATGATTGTTTATTTTATTTTATTTTATTTTATTTTTTAATTTTTTTTCGGTTTAGCCAAGCCTAATTTTAAACATGTTGTGCTTCATTTAAAAGCTTCCATACAAGACAAGTTCTTGTTCTACAGCTGCACTGCTTTATCCAAATCTAAACAGATCAGCTTATAGATCAGTTAAGGCAATGCTCTTTTGACCTGTTGCCAGAAAAATATTAGAAGATAAAGAAATAGTTTTTTTCCTAAGCTACTTAAAGAAGGATCTTATCAGAATAAGAGACAAATAACAACTATTGTGTAGGTCCACCCAGAGATGCATTTTGAAAGCTGTTGGTCTTTTGTCTTACAAGTAGTTCAAGAAGAATGTTGGAGCAGGTAGAGCATATGCTGTACAATACCCCCCCAACACCCATTGCTACTTTTTATTCTAGGTTAACTTTGTTAGAATATATCTCCAATGCATTAAAAAATGTCAAACTCCAAAAGTGACTACAGTTATTGGACAACAGTAATACTTGAATGTGTATCCTCTTTGTTTTATCTCATCTCTCCACAGAGAACCACATTCTGGAGGATGTAAATAAGTGTGTGATCGCCCTGCAGGAGGGGGATGTGGACACGCTGGACAGGACAGCAGGGGCAATCCGGGGCCGTGCCGCTCGTGTGGTGCACATTATTAATGCTGAGATGGAGAACTACGAACCTGGCGTCTACACTGAGCGTGTTCTCGAGTCCATCAAGCTCCTCTCTGAGACCGGTGAGAACAAAGATCACACACGCACCTGAGTCCTGATCTTGTCTCATGCTCACTAAGGCATGAACTTATGGTAGAGATGGGGACAGATGGACAGAGGAGATCAGGAAGCTCTTGGAAGAAGGAAGTTAGAGGAGAGAGGGGTAGACAGACGAGCAAAGATGGTGAGGCCGGAGATACCACCTGTTCCCTCCTCTGGCACTGATCCTTTGCTCATTCATTTTTCATCTGTTTTCCCCCAACTCCTCCACCTTTGACAGTCTAGTGCCAGCTTTCAGGAGGCGGCAATTTAGACACTGACAGACAAGGCCGAGGGCCAAAACATACCAAGTAATGCAGAGATTTGTGCATAGCCTTTCCAGTGCTTTCAAGACACAATATCTGACAGGAAGCAAAAAAGCCTTCTATCTTAGGTGTTAATGTGTGAGAAACATCTCGCCTGACACTTTTTGATGTATAGTTGTTCCGTCTAAATGCGCTTCGACGATTGTTCGGAATCAACAAATGCAGGGTGGCTGGAAAATGAGCACTCAAAATATTATTCTGGCGGCGGCGCTTTGTCCTGCCTCCCTTGTTGTGTCTAAAACATTACATTAGACTATTTTGACAGCCGGCATTGTTTAGAAGAGCGAGCGGAATATGAGAGGGAGAAAATAGCAGTCCTGCTTTCAGAGTTGAGACTGCAATATTTTTGTTATTATAAAATTATCGCTTTAATCATATTATTAGATCTAGTTTGACAGGCAGGCACACAAAAACAATGAATATTTGTGACGCCTGACCAACTGAAGGTATAAATGCATTCGTAATGTGTCCAAATGGATCTTCCCTGGTTCTTCTCATCATCTTCCACTTAAACTGTTTTTTGTTCCTTCACATTACTAAAATATTTAAAATGAAGCATTTAGATATCCCTGTCAAAAAATAGCATTAAGTCAAATCGATGTGATAATGAGTGGTCTGGTGGTTAGACCTTATCCAGTAATCACTTTACACTCAGATCTGATCTGTAAGGTCAGAAATTGAGCCGCATTCAGATCAGAATGTGTTGGTGTGTTTCCATTGTATCCTGATTTGTAAAAATTCTTATCGCACTGTCAGTTGGTGCAATTTATTCCTAGTGAATCCTCTCATTTTTGTGCATTGTATCATTCAAATTTTTCCTCTATTAATCCATGTTGGAGGGCATGGAGAGCTGGAGAGTTGATACCACCATCTGTGTTACACTGCTGCACAATGAGTCACATGTACTTCATGTTACTTATCCGTTGAAAAGTATGAAACATTACATTTAATAGGTTGTTTGCACATGACGTCACTGATGACGTGCGAAATGCAGCTGGAGGGCAGGAAGTGATTTCTCTCCATAGGAATCACTAGCAGAAACTCAAAATGCCTGTGTTTTGCGTTGTTTATGGATGCTCAAATTGGCCAAACCGAGAAACCACAAGGAGCTTTTATCGTGTACGAAAATGTGTTGTTCGTCAGGGGGGAAAAGTCAAGAAATGCAGGAAAAAACGCAGGAAAAAGTGGCTTGTAAACCTGCGTCTGCGTTCGGGAGGAGCGGAGCTGGATAATGCTCGTGTGTGCAAATGATTAATATAAGATATAATAATATATTAAGATATTAATAAAGATATAAATAGATTGGGCTGCCACCTCTCAAGCTGCATTTCGCGCGTCATCAGAATCACGTGATTGCAAACCACCTATTGACCCTGTCTTTCATCTGCCCCTTAAACAGGGACTTTTAGAGACTTAATGAGGACCAAACACTAGCATTTCATTACCGCCTTCAGTCAATTGAAAATAAAACGTCTACCTTTGTCTTTTTTTATTTATATAAAGATAGCACACTCTTTTCCGGAAATCACAAGTTGAACAGTTAATGCTCGCTCAGCTTGAATGAGAAACTGTTCTGCTAGTTGCTTCAGCAAAACCAAGAGAAATATCTGCATGCTCGATTGAGAGTGATAATTGAATTGTGAAAGGGCTGGACGCCCAGACTGGCTCTCATCTTGTCTGTATTCACTTTGATGAGGTGGTACTTTTCATTTTATTTAGATTTTTTTTTCTCTGTTTCTGTCTTTGTTTTGGGATGTTGGTGCCACCCAGGGCTGTCGTCAGGGAAAGGGGCAAATGAGGCCCTTTGACGAGAGGGACCCACTGAGTTCCTCTGTCATATAGCCTACTCATTAGGCCCAGGGGAGGGAGGGCCACCCATAAAAATGTAGTCCCATGCCCCGTGAATTTAATTGACAGCCATGGTGCCACTGCATAAATGGAATTGAACCATAAAGCATTGCAGCATTGCAGCATTGATTCTTCTAGACCTTTCATTATTGCACACGACTTGGCACTCAAAATGTCAATGAATTTTTGAAAGTTTGCAGGATTAGGCCAGACGTAGCATCGGGGTGGGGGCTTAGTGAATTAGCATATTAGAAGTGAATAGCATCTGAACGTGTTTTCCATTTAATTAAGATGTTTGCTACTCAACTAAGTGGCTTTATCAATTGAATAATGGAGAAAATGTACAGGGGCACAATGGTCCAGTGTGCAATTAGAGTAAAACTGCAGGTACTGGTCTGTAGTTTTGTGTCACGACAGATGTTTTCAATCCCTCACAACACAAGGTCAGGGTATCGCTTTTAAAAGTTAGTAAAAACTAGCAGCTCCATTTCCTCAAAAGTGTCTGTTCCTATCTATTTCTTCAACTTTTTGGTTTAGTTCCATATCGGCAGATGAACATCTTTTAGCCTCATTGGAATATACTAAACTTTATCCGTTTTTGTTTTTTTTTTTCCCCAAGGCAGTGTAAATATAACAAAAGTCCAGCTGGTCCAAAGCTCTATACAGATACACCGCTAAAGGAACTTTAGCACACAGTGCTCAGAAATCTCGAATCGTGTCCTTGAGCTTGAAAATCAATAGTCTAATAGCAAAGCTGTGATGACTTTCCCCTCTCTCTTTATCCTTTCCATGCTCTAATAGTCTAATAGTAAAGCTGTGATGACTTTCCCCTCTCTTTATCCTTTCCATCCTCTTCCCGATCCAAACTAATATTCGTGCGGGAAAAATTACCCCATCATTAAGGTTATGCTCAGGCCCCCAGTAGATTAAAAATGAGAAATATGGCTGATGTAATAGTGCCAAGTAGAAGGCAGCAGTAGCAATACTGTCATGGAGTATGGCAGAGTGAGTAGGGCTCATGCCAAAGGGTGACCGTGCAGAGATGAAATATGGCCACCTAATCACTTCCCTAACACACACACACAGACTCGCACATGATTTTTATGGCAAATATAGTGTTTCCCTGACAGGTTGAAGGTCATGTTTGCTCAGGTACCAAAAACAGCAATGATTTCATACAGCCAAATGACCCCACAAAATATTTTTCCTCAGCATGTCACGACCCAAGAGTCTGCACGGTGAGACATGGGAGGCAGCGCATGCAAAAACAACAAGGATAATAGAATTAGTTCATGCCTGCCTACTACAATGAATGCACCCACATAGCAAATGTTTTCTGGCCCAGCTCCGGGCCACACAATCACTTTTCTCTCGGCCCAAGTACCATAGAATGACGGACATGAAGTGACCCAGAACTGGATTAAAGACAAGGGCCACACATGGGCCATAACCGGCCCGAATCTCAGCCAGTTAATTACCCTTAATTGGCCCTGAACTGGGCCAAAACAGGTTTTATTATTGGTACCAATTCTCAAACTTAAGTAAACCAGAATCCCCAAATCTGAGCCACACCTGAGCCTTATATAGCCCAGACCCAATACAGAATCTTAATATTTGATATTATTGCATTGTGTATCACTATAATCGCCCTTATTCATTTTGTGAAATGTTTTGGTAATGTACACACAAACTATGCCAATAAAGTACATTAAACTGAATAGAAAATCAGCCTTAAAATCCACAATTCATGTAACTGTGCAATAAAAATCGTATTGCATTGAAGATGTTTTATTTTATAAAGAACATATCAACCAATAAAGAGTGAGTGTATAAAGTATACAGTCTATAAGAGAAACGTAACATACAGACACATTTAATCACAATAATGTATTGCAGAAATGTCAAAGAGCAGTGCCACAGTAGTCCAAATGAAGATACATTGCAGTCGCAGTCCTCTCTGGCAGGATATAATAGTTTAGTGCGAGGAGCAGGGCATAATTTAAGTTGTTAAATGCTGAAAATACTATCCCGATCCACTCTGTGAAGGCACGCGTTTCTTACTCAAAACACGCATCACCGGAAATACGGCATGTCGCAATCTATGACGAAACTGGTGAGAGCCAATGAGCGTCTGATATCGCTGCCGTAAAACTTGTAAAACTTCTTAACGGCAAATGTTTTAATTGTTACTATAGCTACAGAGGAAGGAGATACATATCGCTGATGAATGGTTTGAATTTGGATCTGTTCCTCACACAAAGCATCACATGGATACCAAGGATTTGAATAAAAATAAAATACTTTTATGATCATTTTATTTAATACTTGTGCATGACAGCATATGAATAAAATGATGTGCCCCATGGTAAACCAAATAAATATTACATGAAAATGGTTAAATGATCTCTCTCTCTCTCTCTCTCTCTCTCTCGCTCTCCCTCTCTCTCTCTCTCTCTATGTAAGGATTCTAAGATTATTTGTACTGAGAATAATAATATAAAATATAATAACATTATAATTAAGTGCAGTTTAATGCAGTTGACTGATTTACTGATTTGCTTAATTTAGAAATGATGTTTCATTCTGTTTTGACTTGCCATTTCAAAGATTAAATTTAAACAATACTACACTTCATTAAAATATATGTGATCATTTAACCATTATCATGCACTATTTTATTTATCTTGTTTACCATGGGTCTCATATTTGCTGTCAGGTCACAAGCCTGATTTGGGCCACATGATCACTGGACTGATCTGGGCCACACTCCTCCCACCAACAATCGGCCCTCATATTGTTTGCTGTGATCCACGCTGTGCCATCATTGCCACACATGGCCCAGCTCTGGCTGAAAGGGTACATGCCACTGCCGACAGGAGGCCAGCAGTGCCATTATGAGGCCACATTTGGGCCAAGACTGTTTGCTATGTTGGGCAGAAAGAATTGCAGATCCTGAAGAAAGGGCAGTGCTAACAAATTCCACAGCCTAAGGACCAAAATGTAAATGAAACCAAAGTACAAGTGACCTCACTGTTGTCAAAGGAATCTGTTTTCCATTTCAAATTACTTGTAAGACCTATTAGCATTAGGAATGTCTCATTGCTTTTTCAAGTATATCATTTTGAGCCCATTAGGCTGGTCTGACCTCAGCCTCTCAAACAGAAAAATCCAGTTTGAGCATGTTTTATGTTATTCACCTCAGCATTGTGCGATATCTCAAAACACTTATGCAAAAACATAATTTGAAGGCTCATAGAACAGATCTTACTGCTTGCTTTATCTGGAGTTAAACACTTTAAGAAAATAATCCCTTCCAACATGGTTTTTATTAGCTCCTTTCATCATTTCTCACTGGTCTGAGTTAAATTTGCTCCTCACTAGCAGCAACTTTACTCATTAATGGCTTGAAGAACATTTAAATATTTCTATTTAAAAGTCACAGCAAAATTCCCCAAAGCTCATGTTACGCCTCTCCAATAAGTGGATTAAAATTAATTAAATATGTGTTAAAGCAAGATGGGGTTAGAAAGAAGAAAGGAAATCAAGTAAAAAGCCTTTGCCACACCTTTTTGAATGTTTTGCATAATTTTGTATTTCTTATGTGTTCATTTGAAATTCAAATCGGAACTTGTCCATTTAAGAAGGCAAATAGGCAAAATGGCTGTCAGAGAGGATCCCATACTGGTCCCCTTTTAAAGTCAAACTCAAGTCGGATGTCTGTAATCAAAACCATCATGAAAAATCACAAGCCCTGTCTTTTCCTGGAGATCTGTATCCGCTATTATTGTGAATGGCTCTCCGGGCTTTGATTTGGTTTGATGGCTGAAGACAACACTTTAGAATTTTCCTGTCACAGGAGTGTCCTCATAAGACCCACCTTCCCCACGGAGAAGTGTATCTTGGGTCATAATATCCTAGTTCCTTGCTTTTAAAAATTCCCCTCCTTGATACATTTCTTGAATATTTTAAGAGCATCGCTTTGGAGCTTGCTTAAGGGCTTAATACGAGGCTTTTTACTGTGCCCATCTTTTTTTCATCATCCACCAAGTGGTCCCGGGCGTTGATATGAGCGTGACTTGATGTTGGGGTTAGATCACAATACGGTCTCCCTCCACCAGTGATATTGCCATGGAAACGCAATATTTCTCCTTCACTTTGGATATTCCCACCTTCCTCGCCTCGGGTATGCAGGCAGGTCATTCAGTATCAGGTCCGGAGGTTGAACGTGAATCGGTGGGCTGCGGTGCATACTTGTTTAGTACACTCCAACTGGAGACATTAAATCATCAATCCTATTATTTACTCTGGAGTTGTTAAGATTTAAAGCTTAGGATTCATAATAAGGTAGTCGGAGCCCTCTAAAATGCTATTAACATTTTATATTGACATTTCACAGAAATTTAATTTACTTAAAAGTCTCCATTCACTGTCACGATGCAGCATTAGCTGTAAGTATTTTGTCAAAATGGTTACACCAAGGGTAAGTGGTCCAAACACATTTGTTCAGTGTAAACTCTGAGATATGGCTCATCATAAAAACAGATCAAACTAATGTCACATTAGTAAACCTTTCCCAGCCCTCCAGCTGCACTCAATCAATGTCTGTCAACATTGTTCGTACTCTGCTCTTGTCTTCGTCAAACAATCCCTTATTGCACCCAGCATTTAGTGCCCATTTCTGAGGAACAAGTAAATTGAAGGAGGGTAGAGAGCAAGATGATGTAATTATTTTTTTTTGTCTGCCCACTTGGGGTGATGTGGTATCACTCCGGGATTTTATAGAGTCATAATGCCTTGGCTTACTGATGGCCATGTGTTCCCAGCAAGGTGAAGTGGTTAATTGGCAAACGTAGGGTGCCCCTTCCACATATTTTCAGGGTGACATTTTCTCGTCTTCCTCTCCCGCTGATGTCCTCGGGCCTGACTGACAGGGAGGAGACGGCAGAAATAGATGTGCCTGCCTGAATTGCGACACTTAGCTTCTTAAGATCACATATTCTCCATTTTTTTCACCTCTCACCATGTCTTTTCTCTGATATGTTTGGCACCTGAGGGGAAGGCTGGCTTTTGAGGGATGTATGTAATCCTTTTTTTTTTTTTTTTATGTTTTTTTTTTGTGTGTGTGTATCTGTCTTTCTGTTTTTGCTTTCTCTCAGCCCTCGCTCGATTCAATCATCTACATTCTTCTTTTTCACCAGTGATGCCGCGCTTTGCCGAGCAGGTTGAGGTCGCCATCGAGGCTCTTAGCACCAGCCCCCCGCAGTCATTCGAAGAGAACGAGTTCATTGACGCCTCTCGCCTCGTTTACGACGGAGTGCGTGACATCAGGAAAGCAGTCCTTATGATAAGAGTGAGTATCATACAAGTTGCATAACGGTACAAGGTCCTTGCTATTCACAAGCAGGACTTTCACTGTGCCTATTTCCTCAGTGGTTTGTGTGATAAATAACAAAACAACACATTGAGCACATTTCAATTGAAAATATTGTTGTGGGTTATTATGACCCTATCATACATAGCCAGGGTTCTCAACTGATAGGTCCGCAAACATATTTCAGGGGATATGTGGATATATGATATATAAAATTCATAAAATTTTCTTGAGAAATTAGTATTGTTTTAGTGAACATAAAGAAATCGTCTGTTAAGCATTATGAAATGCAAGGCTTTTGATGCCAGGGACCCCCAAATATCATGACCCAGTATAAAGAATAATTTATACTTGGTCAAAAAGTAGTGAGCGTGATATTGTAAAGAAAACGTATTTCCAAAACTAATTAATTGGCTTTTATATTGTCACTGTAATAAAGCCAAAGCAAATTATTAAAATATTATCTTGAGAATGTAACGTTTAATTGAAAATTATGTTTATAATAAAATACAAATAAATAAATAAACTTTTGAAATGTAGAATAGTTCTCTTTAACTATAGTGACACAATAAAATAAATAACTTTGAAACCCCTAAAACAAATCATTTTGTAACATTATCCCCCTTGGCAGTTTCCTTGACCCCAGTTTCAAAACCACTGATGTAATGTAGTAACATAATATAAGTTAATGTTGTTAACGAAATTTGTAAGTGTTTCTAGAAAAATCAAGTGGATGCACTAGATTGTGAATTAATGCTAAAGGTTATTATTTATGTGGTATATGTACAGCATGTCCTTGGTATACAATAAGAATATGTTGAGTTTTTTTTTATTTATTTTTTTATGCCTTTGCCTGTTGTTATATTCTGTTTACCAAGACTGTAAATGTTTCTGGTTCAATATGACTAACACTAGTCTTTTTGTTGCAAAAATACATTTTCTAAGATGTATACTTCCTCCATGAGAGCATCAAGCAATATTGAACAGTGTGTTATCTGTAAATAACGTCAAGCTGAGCTTGGAGATGGTTTGGAACAGAGTGATAATTGTAAATAGAGATCCTACTTTGTTTTACTTATTCTCCGAACCACCCCCCACCACAAAAATGAATCACAAAGATAGGTCATACAGAGCGGGTATGCTTTCTGCTGCCCAGAAAAACCATTGCTGTCACCATGTGCTGGTGGCTGCTTTTAAGGTTTGAAAATAGTACAGCTCCCAGAGTAGAAGTGAAATGAAAATACCAGTTATTTGTCAAGGATTGTATCCTGCTAATCAAACCAAGATGGGTTTGTGCACAAATGTACTCTCCTACTTCTATGTCAGCGTGAAATCTCTATCCACTGGGATCTTCATTAAAACATTTAACAAAGAAGACTTTGCCAGTTTGCGACAAGTTACTTTGCTAATTGAATCAATAGTATATCTCAATCAATAGTTAGTGCCACTGCCGCTCAGAGTGGCAGAAACAGTGGCTGCTGTCAAGATACACTTTTCTTTGTCTTCAATTTGCTCATTAGTCAGTTAGTGGGACTGATGTTGAAACTACTGGTAGGCAGAATACAAGAAAACAGATCACATCTAAACCCTGAAAAACCTAGAGGCCTTTCCCCCTTCACATATTGTTTGATCCCACTTTAAGAGGGAACTTCTTTTTATATTACACACAAGAAAGCCAAAAGGGAATTGAAGAACAATGATGCAAGTCACTTGTAACTCAAACTGTGGGACGAATTAATTATTTATTGAGATTTGACTGGTTTAATGGTTGACACGTCTTTATGTTGGATCAGAGGTCCTTCGCCGTCATTGTGTGGCAACACACAGCTGCTCGTGACGTCTGTCGAATGTTGTCTCCCAAGTTGTCAGCAAGCTGGAGCACTAGGACAAAAGACATAGGCACTCTAGTAGAGTACATTTAAGATATAGATGTAAAGTTTAAACAAGGCAAAAGTTTTGTTGACGACAGAAACCCACAAGTTAATGTCTCTCCAGACCAGTTTTGAAACTGAAAGTGAAAGTAAAAATGAGATTTAGGAGACTTAGGAGATTTAGCTCACTCAAAAATGAATCATTCACTGTCCTTACTCTGTCATCCCAAACCCCGTGTGTGCAAAATGTGATTAAAAAAAAACCTACTGATTGCTCTTTTCCAACAAATAATAAGAAAAAGACTTGATCAACTATTTATTTTTCAAGCAAAACCCACAAAGGTATGGTGTGGTGACAAGAATGGTCTTTTTTTTTTTTTTTGGTCAGACTCCAGAAGAGTTGGAAGATGACTCTGACTTTGAGCAAGAAGACTATGACGCCCGTAGCCGCACCAGCGTCCAGACAGAAGATGACCAATTGATTGCTGGACAGAGCGCAAGGGTGAGTGACTCCTACGTGTCACATAAACAACATCTCCTGTTCCTGCTGTCATTTCCAGCAGGGTTACTCTCACAATACAAAACACTTATCACTCCACTGAGCGTGTCTGCTCTAAAATGACGTCTAGTCTTAGAATAACAAGAGGGCCAGTCACTCAAGTGCATGCACACAACGTGTCTCTCACTTTTTCAACAACAAAACATTATTTAGCCTCTGCTGCAAATGATGGTATGAATGTTTTTGTTGATTTCCGTCCCTCAATACTCAACACTGCAGTTACAATGAATACTGATGATCACACTTTACATCAGTTCTGTCGCATGGCATCTAACAGCCCTATTTTTTCAATATTTAACATAGCAGGGGAGCAGACGTTTGAGTCCTCCATATATGAACATTTTTGGTACCAGTTAAAGAGAAACTTTCTGCATAGACTGTAACTGTGAAAATAAGGCTTTATTGAAACTATTGAACTTCCTATGTAGGGGCATTTTAAGGCATCTTACACTCTCAAGAAAAAAAAATGCATGGACCCTTTAGGTTGGTGGACAAAGTAAGAGACATTTTATTTGTATTCCTTCAATACAGCAAAGTAGAAAATAAGTCTAATTAAAAAAATGCCTTTTTAACCTGACCTTTTAGCTTAGCAACATGCTAATGGCAGATTTTGTATAAATAAATTGGGATTCGTCGAGTCTACATTGCACGTCAAATTGCTCACAATCGAGTTGCTGCCTATGTAGAATGTTAGCTCACTTCTAAGGTTCCATTTTGGAATGTAGGTTTTGAAACAAAGCCTAGATATTAAGCTTCAATATAGCAGGGGAGCATGCTCCCATTCCCAGAAGAAAATTCTTCATACAAGAATAATTTTGGTTCTAGTTTTGTAAACTCTCTGCAGAGACTGTAGTAGTTAAAATATGATTGCAAATGAGACTTCTGGCAGTGTCACCCCCTTAGTGTGCCTGTGTCAGCCGGCATTTGACAGCAAAGCTCACTGGGGTTCGAGGCTTAATCCACATTAGTGTATGTGTGAATAGTGCACAGTGGGCTGCTTATGAGACATTACAAGGATATCAGTATGTAGCCGTGGAGTACCGCTGACTTTCACACGCAAATACACACCATAACCCTGTTTGATACCAATTACTCTTGAGAAGAAATTATCTTCCATGAATGAGAGGAAATGATCATTTGTATAGAAAAAAAGACCAGGCTAAAAGAAATGCTGCTGCGGAGAAGAAAAACAGGGTCATTTTTTAAGAACAGCAACAAATTGACAAAAAAAAAGACCGTGGAAAAACATTTTGCTCAGTAGTACACTTGGTTCAGTGGAGTTCAAGTGGCATCTTGTGCGTAGGTGCTGAATGTTACATTGAGTGAATGTGTTTTTGCAAATCAAATATGCGTGTCACTACTGCTGTATTTATATAGTCTGTGACTTTAAGTTTTATGGATTTTGAGTTATCATAAGAGAGAAATAAGAGCATCCATTTGTACACTGACTCACACTTTCAGACAGACGCATAGAGACACTGCTCTATCTCTTAGCCCCATGATAGGATAACAGTGCTGATAGGTCAGCCATAAAATTGAACTCCGGTATCTAGGCCACTTTATTTCAAATGAGAAAAATTAAAAAGCTTTTCTGAAGGATTTCTAATCCAGAAGCACGCACACGTACACATGCAGACGTTCAGCACACAATATGAGTGCGTTGAATGAATCGGCACAGGTGTGCGTATGGGGAAGGATTTGTTGGAGCATTAAGCTGCCTGCACCCTCTCTTGTTATCGGTTAGGAGCCAGAGATATTTGGGAAAAGTTAATTCTGAGCAAGGCAAGAGGAAGGAATAGGCTCTCTCCTTTCTATTTACCTTCTTTCCATACATCACATCCATTCTTAGCACCAGAGGAGTTGGGATTAAACATGTAGCAGCTCATTAATGCTGATGAAGAGCTGATTGGCTCATGGAATGGTTATGTTTCTGACGCACAGGTGGTAGAACAGTGCGGTAATCACATCTAAGCAAAAAAAGAGACAACCTTTAATTTAAAAAATGAACTTTAAATGAGCTTTAATTATAACCAGGCAGGCATTCATTTACAATATAATCCCTTCAACCGCCTTTTGAGATGCCATCGCAGTTATGTGGAATATCAAAGGCAGTGAATGATACAATGCTTATCCTTATATTTTTTCGGACACAACCACCATTGCATCAGCCCTCCATTTGAAATGCCCAAGAGTGCACGCTACATGAAAAATAAATCATTTTCATCTTTTAATCACATTTTCTCCAAGGACTTCTTTTCTTTTTAGTGTGTAATTGCTTGTTAAATAAACAAGCAAAAAGCTACAAATCTTAAATGAGCAGCTGGCTCTTAATTACATCTTATGTTATTACATCCTTTGGCTATGATGGCGTATCTCCACTAAATTCAGACAAAACTGTGGAAAAGCTCATCTCTGTCAAACTACAAATTCCGACTTGTATGGCACAGACCTTTGCAAAACCCATCTTTCTCAGTAATCACGCACTTAATGACATCTAGAGTCCCCTGCTTTGGTCTGGTCCGTCTGCTCGGACAGAATGTTGAACAAATACATAATTCATTGACTGGTGTAAGAAGTGAGGTAATTATACATCTATCTCACAAATAATACTGCGCCTTAATGGTGCCTGCGACCTTGCAAAGAGATTAATGCCCTTTCGGACTGGCTCAGAATCGCTACGGAGTGAGAATTTATTCCTTGACAAGGAGAGGGGGAAAGAAAAGAGGATGGATTTTCTCGTTATGAGCATGAGATGTCATGGGGTTCCAGAAGGTCTTATGATTAAGTGTTAAGTTTCAAAACCTTATACAGAGGCATTTCAGTGGGGTTGAATAAAGTCAATCTAAATGGAGGGTACTTTCTTTTCAAACTTTTAACCAGAAACAAGGACATGTGTTGCGGGGAGAGAAAAAAAAAAAACTATTGTAATGTGTCTAATTGATCTTTATCTTGTGTCATACCACTACACCCCCCCACCCCCAATAGGCTATCATGGCTCAGCTGCCTCAGGAAGAGAAGGCCAAGATTGCTGAACAGGTGGAGAGTTTCAGGCAGGAAAAATGCAAGCTGGATGCAGAGGTCGCCAAGTGGGACGACAATGGAAATGACATCATCGTGCTGGCCAAGCAGATGTGTATGATTATGATGGAGATGACTGACTTCACCAGGTACATCCATCCACATGTCAACAATAAGAAAACATCAGACAGAATACATGATAATATGAAGCTGAGGGCTCTAGTATCAACTAATATGCACCCTTTAGCTGTAAATAAGGTACAGATGTGTACCTTTTGAAAGTGTTACGCCCCATTTTTCTGAGAATGTAGCTGCTTGTGTTTCTTTAGTTTCTTCTTATTGGGGATTTACTAGCATATGTTGGGGGATTGCTTGCTTTCTGTGCAGCTTGCATTCTGCCCGTTTTGAGGAATCAGCTAATAGAGTAACAATCTGGGTTTTTGTGTTTTTTTGCAGAGGCAAAGGCCCTCTGAAGAATTCCTCTGATGTGATCAATGCCGCAAAGAAAATCGCAGAGGCCGGATCCAGAATGGACAAGCTTGCCCGTGCCGTGGCTGACCAGGTCAGAATACCCTTTTTTTCCCACTTGTCTTCCTCTATCCATCTCTTTGAGGATGTGAGATCAAAGCCCTGGGTTGTGTTTAATATAATGAGCTCCTATGAGGTGTTGAATTTATTATTAGATGAGCACCATCTTCAGAACCTGCTGACTGACACTTTTTAACGGTTATTCAACTGTACTCTTTGTAAAGAAAATAAATGCTAAGGATGTGCCTATGAGTGCTGGCATGTGTTGATGGCAGCTGCTATATCATGCACCATCTTCATTCATTCAGTATGTAGTGCACTTTCATAAAATATTATGCACTTTTTTTCCAAGTTATAGTTTTATTTGCTCATAATTAAGTAACCATGTATGGGTAGATTTTAAAAGGCTTGGTTGTGAATTTGACGAGAAAATGAGAAAAACTTGAAATTGCTAGAAATGAGCAAACCTGTCTACCACCCTGCCCATTTGCGGAGAAGACAAACTTGGTAGTGAGGGCTGAAGGTGTTGCAGAGTTGTTTGTGGTTTTAGTCAAAGGCAAAATGTTGAGTTCTGACTGGTAAAGCAGGTATGAAGTCAGTCTTGTTGCTGTCCAGCTGACAGACCATGGTGAAGGACTACCAAGAGATCACAGCTAACCAGGAGTGCAGCCGTTTTGTGTGCAGACACGTTTAGACTTCTATCTTTGGTATACAATGGGGATGTAGTGAGAGCACATGACTGGAAACAATATAGTATTGGAGAGAAAATAAAAGGAAATTTGGACTAGCATTCTGCATGTTATCGTCACACAGGTAGAGTTACGGCTCAATAAATTACCTGAGTGCTACTCCAATAAAGATTTACATGGATGACATATTTTTGTAGGCCAAAACCCAGAAACGTGTTAGCATTTTAATACTTCTGGTTAACAAAAGCACAATAAATTCCATGTTTTAATTATTATTATTCTACAACAGAAAATAGATCAGTAATGTGATTTATTTTTTTTTTTTTACTTTTACTTTTACTTAAAGCCAGTTGCTAACAAGTGGCTAAATGGAAGTGCATAGATTGGAAAAATCCTATTGGGAATCAGGGTGCCTATAAAAATACGTCATCACTGTAGCACTCTCCAGGACAGCTCTATACTACAGTACTAACTAATAAGCCACTCCTACCTTACAAAAACCTACCTATTTTCCCTAATAGCACTTTCTAAATAACAGTTTTGGTAGGTTTTTTGGTACTACAGTATATGGGAATGGCCCTTTTGTTGTCATCAACACTGGGAGACTGATCAAAAAGATACAAGAAGCCTGAAACCTGCTGTGTCACCACTGGCCAGGCCTCATGTTGTTTTTGTTGTTTTCTTACCGTATTTCTTTTCCCTTAGATAAAGGGAAAAGAGTGAGGGGGAACCTGATCACACTGCTGATCAGAGTGTAATCCGAGTGTACGAGCACATCGGAGATGGCCAGACAGTTCCTGCTTTCCAAAACAGAACACCCCTCTCTTCCCTTCAGGCCATTGTGTTCCGCCCATAGCAGCAATCCATTCTCTCAACTGCCACATGTTGTGTTTGTTGGGTATTCTGAACAGGTGGCTTGACTTGTCCCTTATTGAACCTTTTTCCCACTAACACAGTATTTACATCTAATGGCCATCTGGGGCTTACAGGACTCATCAAGGGACTGTATTCATTTCAGAAAGAATCTCTGAGTAGGCGGTGTAAAACAGAACCGGGTGCTCAATAATCAAGCTGCTCCTCAGTGCTGGAAAAGACAAAACAATTCAGAAAAAAAAGCATAGCATCATAGGCTATGCTTAATTTACTGTATATAAAGCTTTGGATGTTTCGGTGCACAGTAAGTTAAATGTAAAATGGTGGAATATTGTACAGCCGTGGTTGTCAAAAACAATGCTAATTGCAACTAATCATATAACAGCTGAAACAAGACTTTAAAAGGAAGAACTTAAAAGGAAGTACATGTATTTCGGTGAAAATATCTGCCTAATTTGGTTACGTTCTACAAAACGACAGACTAACATGGATGCAACTGGAAAGAAAATGTGACCATGCCTACAGTTCAGCTAATATTAATATATTTCAAATAATATTTTAAAGACATTTTGTTTTAAAGCAGTTTTTAAAGCTTCTTTATTTTCAAATCTGCAGTGGTGTGTGTGGTCATGACAGCAGTCAGCCCTCCTCAGAAACATACTCTTACAACTCCTGTAATTGCTACACTTGACACGGCAGACCTAAAGCTGCTGGGCCCTGGAGGCGAGAAAAGAGGGTTCTATATTTCTCCTTTTCCCCCTTGCCATCCCCCGGCACAGCGAGAGGTTGCCTCCTGAAGAGAGACACTCGATCGCTAAACGCTAAGGACGTTACAGCTGCTCAGCCGTGTCAAAGATAAAGCAGCTTCAACAGTTATTGAATGTGTCTCATCAGTCTTTTTCACTCAAAGTTCATGTGACGCTAAGGGAGAAAAAATTGTAGCCAACTATTTAACAACTTCTGACAGGACTTATTACTTTAAGCAAAGTCACTGAGTTAACTGCTGTGCTAGAAGTGTGTCAAAGCGGTAATCTTGTCTTGGCATGCCAAGGTGCTGTATGTGCAAAATTAGTATTTTTCCAAAAAGTCTTAACATTAAATGGAAAGTGAGTGGGAGACAGAAACGGCACAGGGATTGTTCTTACATGTAAATGCACTACATAGAATGAACCTATATGTAGAAAATAGACAAGCATTTTCTTATTGACAAATTATTCACATTACAGTTTTGACGTTTTAAATGCAATAGATCTATATTCCAGATATATTCGGAGGATGGGCATATGCTAACACATTTAGGATTTGTGTGCTTACAAATAGTTATCAAAACAGTGAAAGTCAGTTAAATGATATACATAAAGGCAAATAAAACTGGTCTGATCTCAATGCAAAGTCTGTACACATTACCAATTCTATTAGCTGAAGTCCTGGCTTATGAATATTACAAAGTTTGTGACTGCAGGAAGGTTACACAGCAACATGATCATGGCCGAATTAATATTCATGAGATAAGCAATCACTGTGTCCTTACATCAAAAAACAGTCCATGCATCTCTCCCCACAGGCTTCAAAACATTTAAAGGAAATTAAGGATGTTTTATTTACTGTAATATGGGCAGGTGTCCATTATTAAATGTTTCCCCAAATCCTCAGGGGGGAGACGTACTTTCCATTTCCTTTTGCTTGTTTACTACTGTGCTTTATATTTATGTGTACAGTTTTCCTATTAACAAAATAAACAATCGCAGGAGATTTACACCTAGGCCTGGGCGATAAAACAGTATCGATATTTATCGATGGTACACCTTCTTCGATAACGATATAAAATATATTCGATATAGTGCAGGATATAGGCACGTGCTATGAGTTATGCAGACAGCACACACAAACACGAACACATGCTGAATTGAGTGCTGTGCCTGCCTGTGATGAGGACATTGTGAATAAAAAATGAATATTAGTAGAATTTAAAATAAACATTTGCATTTGAATGTTAGGAGTGCGTCAGGGAGTGTCATCAGTGGCACACGAGATGCATTGATGATGTAAATGACGTTGTTGCATTTTAATGTTTTGTTAGTCTAGCCCAGGAGATGTGCCGCTGCTGTGTTATGCATTCAAAATATTAGAGAAATATAGTAGCTCAATGCGGAGAAGATCTTGATTAGGTGAAAACCGAAACCAAGCCATTCACACAGAAAGCATATTCAGCGCATTTTTTTAGACGAACTAATATGACTGCTGCACTCGCGTCTCACACAAGAGATGTAGCCATGCAAAGTTAAAACAGTTAAAACTTTTAATAGACATTTATTTCCTTACGTTGACCATTTAAATGTGCTGCATTACTTTGCTCATTGCGCACTCCTGTGGCCCCGGGAGACAAGCCAAAAGTTTCCTTAAGACCTATTTAATCTGCATATAAAACATTAGAAATTAGTTATTTGTTTAATTTTTATTGTGTGTTTGACTGTTAAAACTGTCTCAATAAATTGGGTTAATTTAAAAATACAGTGGTTAAATTTAAACATTTTTTTCTATTGCTCTTTGTTTTAAAAAAGGTTATAAAAAATGTCAATAATTATCGATACCGAACGATATGAAACATTATATCGTTGATACATTTTTTTAGTCCTAAAATTAGTCTATTTAGCCAATAATATGTGATGATGACAAACCCCTGAGTCATCTTCAAGATGGAGCTAATTTCATCTTCAGTCATCATCGCTTCACCCTCCTCACCTCATGTTTGCTCTGCACAGTGACTATGTAAAGGTCAAGTCTCTGCTATGTGTTCCCATCTCTTTTAGTGCCCGGACTCAGCCTGTAAGCAGGACTTATTGGCATACCTCCAGAGAATCGCCCTTTACTGCCACCAGCTCAACATCTGCAGCAAGGTCAAGGCTGAGGTTCAGAACCTGGGAGGAGAACTCATTGTTTCAGGGGTAAGGTGATTTTAGACGTACATATTTTGATCATGTTTGTTTTATGCGCTTAAAAAGTTTAATTTCAGACTGACTAAACTAATAATGTTGTCTTTTTAAAATGTCATGTAAATGAATTAAAGAACAGTCATACTACTATGTTTCATTGATTTCTATTCATACAATCGTAAATATGGGAAAACTGCAACACAAGCTCCAAAGTACTGACCTGTGAATTAGTATCATGTGAAGACTTGTGACCAATAGAAGATCAATACACACAGCTTGCTAACCTAAATTAAAATAACACATGCTTTGAAGCTGTATATTCACAGCATTGTAATAATATTATAATAATATTCATTGTATTGCCGTTTTGTTCAGCATATCAGCTGAATCAGCATATTAGCATAGTATCAGCAAATCAGCATATTAGAATGATTTCTGAAGGAAAACAAGTATCTTCTGTAGCTTCTGAAGGGCAGTACTAAATGAAAAAAATATGATATTTAGGCAAAAGAAGAAAAATTTCATCCCCCAGCTCTTAATGCATGTTTTTTTTCCTTCTGGAGCATCAGTGAGCATTTGAACCTTCTGTAATAGTTGCATATGAGACCCTCAGTTGTCCTCAGTGTGAAAAGATGGATTTCAAAATCATACAGTCATTGTTGGAAAGGGTTCAAATACACAAAAATGCTGGAAAACCAAATTATTTGTGGGACCTGAAGGATTTTTCTGAAGAACAGCAGGCAGTTTGATTGCTCAGGACAAACAAGGAACTCATGAACCACTATCACTAAAATGCAGCTACTTGTTCCTTTGTTACTCATTGACGCGTAAACTTCCCCGTTAAATAGTGTGACGCTCTGCCCTCTATGTGTATGACGCTGCTCCCATTAAGCGTTGTTGGATGCGAATTAATTGATTCAGCATTTCGACACTTCCATAAGGATGCGATACATTCGACAAAGCAGTTTAATAAAGAATGTATTGATCTTTTTGAATTTTACTACACCAATATTTTTTTTATTGGCTTTTAAAGTTTTATATGGGAATATTACACACTGATCCTTTAACAATGCATTGGCGCATAAATGCACACCTTTTGGACCAATTTCACAACATAATTTCTCGACTGCCACAAATTCTGCCTAAACAAAATAGTGATTTTGTGCACTTTTTACAGTACCAATATTTTCAATTGGCCTTTGAACACTCGGAATGCTTTGAACATTGTTGAGCGCTCTAAATGCAAACTTTGCATGCTAAAATCAGAGGCAGCAATTGACAGCGCTCTGATCCAACGGCATACAGGCATCATTAGATTGACAGTACTCTAGCCCAATGATGTTGGGTGATCCAGTGGGGGCGGCAATCATATTTCAGGGTGGCCGTACCACGCTTTATCACAACCCTGCTAAAATGTAGTGCCAGTATGTGCACTCATTGGTGCTCCCTCCTGCTGGTGGTGCGCTAGGTGACCGCCTAGCTTGCCTATGCCTAGAAACGGTACTGATTACATGCATGCACAGTTTTAAGGCAGCTTTAATCACCTTTTTGGTATCTTCATGACTTAACCCTAGCTCCGCCCCTGCCTTAATTGTGTTAAATATTTTTAACGTGTTAAACTGAAAAAATAATAATTTTGACAGCACTAATATATATATA